CGTATGGTGTCATCTTGATGGATGCCTGATAACTGTTGTTATAGGCGAGTTCCACCAATGGCATCGAATATTCCCACGAGGTACCTCTATCTAGAACACATGCTCTCAACATGTCCTCGAGTGTCTGAATCATTCTCTCGGACTGCCCGTCTGACTCGGGATGGTAAGCGGTACTGAAATGAAGTCTCGTGCCCATAGCTCTGTGCAGACAAATCCAAAAACGTGCAGTAAGTCGTGTGTCTCGGTCTGAAACGATCGACACGGGTACTCCATGGAGTCGGACTATCTCTAGAATATATAGCTTGGCATACTCCTTCAATTTCATAGTTGTCTTCACTGGAAAAAAGTGTGCGGTCTTAGTCAGACGATCCACGATAACCCAGATGGAATCATTCCCACTCCTCGTCCTCGGAAGACCAACGACAAAGTCCATCGTGACTTTCTCCCATTTCCACTCAGGAATCTCGAGTGGATGAGTCAAACCCGACGACCTTTGATGTTCAGCCTTGACTCTCTGACACACCAAGCAGTGATCGACGAATCTCGCTACATCTCTCTTGAGACCTCTCCACCAGAAAGATCTTTTCAGGTCTTGGTACATCTTCGTACTCCCTGGATGAATATAGTACGGGGTGTTATGGGCCTCCTCTAAGATCTCTCTACGGATAGCTGGCACTCTCGGAACACAAAGTCGCTGCTCGAAGACTAAGGCTCCATCAGGTGTTACCGCAAAACCACTGATCCGGCCAGCCTGAGATAGCTGTCTCATCCGGCACAAATATCTATCCTTCGGCTGTTCTGCCACGATCCTCTCTCGAAGAGTCGGTGTCACAACCAAGGATGCTAAAACTCCACTGACTCTCGGGAACTGCTCCACCGAGTCTAACTCGAGTCTACTGAACTCTCTGATCAACTCCTCTTGTTTGGTATGCATACAAGCCAGTCCACCACGACCCTTCCGTCTCAAGGCGTCGACCACCACATTAGCCTTGCCTGGGTGATAGCTAATGGTGCAGTCGTAGTCCTTGACTAACTCGAGCCATCGCCTCTGCCTCATGTTGAGCTCCTTCTGCGTGAAAATATACTTCAGGCGCTTATGATCGGTGAAAATCTCGCACTTTCCTCCGTAGAGATAGTGCCGCCAGATCTTCAATGCATGAACTACTTCTGCAAGCTCCAAGTCATGTGTCAGGTAGTTCTGCTCGTGAGGCTTCAGCTGCCTCGAAGCATAAGCTATTACTTTCCCCTGCTGCATCAACACACAACCCAATCCTTGTTTGGAAGCATCACTATAGATGGTGAAGTCCAAGATAGGGTCGGGAATGGTCAACACAGGTGTGGTGGTCAACTTAGCTCTCAACTCTTGAAAGCTCTGTTCGCACCGGGAAGTCCACACGAACTTGGTCTCCTTCTTGGTCAACTGGGTCAATGGTTGGGCTATTCTCGAGAAGCCCTCGATAAACCTCCGATAGTAACCAGCAAGACCCAAGAAACTATGAATCTCACCGGAATTCTTCGGTGTACTCCAGTTGCTTGCTGCCTCTATCTTACTGGGATCCACTTCGATTCCCTTAGCGGTAACAATGTGACCAAGGAAAGCGACTCGGTCTAGCCAGAATTCACACTTGGAAAATTTTGCATATAACCTTTCCTTGCGAAGGGTCACCAGTACGATCTTCAAATGCTCAACGTGCTGGTCGGCGTCTCTCGAGTAAACCAGGATGTCGTTGATGAAAATGATAACAAACCGGGCTAAGTATGGATGGAAGGCCCGATTCATCAAGTCCATAAATACCGCCGGTGCATTACTCAACCCGAACAGCATCACTACAAACTCGTAGTGACCATACCTCATTCTGAACGCCGTCTTTGATACGTCTGCCTCCTTGATTTTCAACTAATGGTAGCCCGATCGTAAATCAATCTTCAAAAATACGCTCACTCCCCTCAGCTGATCAAAGAGGTCCTCTATTCTTGGAAGAGGATACTTGTTCTTCACAGTCAACCGGTTCAGCTCTCGGTAATCGATGCACATTCTCAACGTGCCATCCTTCTTCTTCACGAAAAGTATAGGTGCACCCCATGGCGAGACGCTCGCTCAGATGAATCCGAGATTGAGCAACTCCTGAATCTGGGTTTTGAGCTCTTGCAGCTCCTTCGGTGCCATCATGTATGGTGCTTTGGACACTGGTCCGGCTCCGGGGATCAGGTCAATAGTGAATTCCACTTGTCTATTCGGTGGCCCTCCTAGAAGTTCATCTGGAAAAACATCACGGTATTCACAAACGATCGGCACTGACTCGGGAGACGGCTCCTCCTTCTGGCTCCCGACGGCACTCACTAAATAGCCCTGACATCCCTTCTTTCGAAGATTCTTCATTGCCTTCATGGTAGATACGACTCTGGATACGGTCCAAGTCTTGGCTCCGAAAAACACGATCTGATCATCTCCTGGCAGATGCAATGTCACCTCTCGCTGGAGGCAGTTGATGTCGGCACGGTACTTTGTCAACCGGTCCATCTCTATAATAATGTCAAAGTCCTTCATGTTGATGACGTATGTGTCGGCCTCCAGATCTCGCCCGCCGATGTTCATCCTCAA